GACTCCTGAGAGTTTTCTAAGCAGGAAATTTACATGATGAAGGCAACAATCAGTGACATAAACAAGATATTCTCCACAGGCAGTAAAGCTACCTTCTGAAATATTTCCATTTACATTGGAGTCTGCTGAAATAGACTTAATTTGGGGTGAAATGTACAACATGTAATTCACATAGTTCTCTGCAATGAATTAATCCTAATACCTTATAAAGCATGGAAAAATTTTTGCAATCAACCTTGAAAAGTAGATGATTCCTGAACCTACTTACTGCCTTGGGCATGAAGAGGTCATTGTTCTGGGACTTAGTTACTTAGTGCATTGGACACTGATGAAGAGAAATACAGCTCCATGGGTGTAAGATTTGGTATAGCATGCACACAGCTTCTTGGGTACGTTTATGTGTAGCAACTTGTAAGAAATCTCCAGTGTTTGCTTGCTTCTTAGACACCTGGCACCAACACCAGTGCATTCTCCACAGCAACTGGCATGTGAGCCCTTTCTCAGACCATGAAAAAGGAAGAGGATTAAGTTTCTAGCCCTTCTTCCGATATGTGGGTGAGAAAGAAAGCAGAGACTCTCTGTGTTACAGATTTTTAGTTGAATAGACTCTACCATGGCAATTCCCAATAACAGGAAACAATACATGGAAAATTACACTAGAAGGGTTACTTTGCAGGTATTTGGGGTGGATGCACAGATGCATGCAGGTATTCACATAAACACACACACACACACACATACACACACATACACACAACCTATTTGCAAGATATATACTGCATTCACCCACTAGTGGTGGTCAGCAATCTTGAAGTTCAGAAAAGCCTATAAGATTAGACACAAGAAGCACAGTTTAACTTCTTCCTTTCAGTCATGGAAGAGGCAACCAGGTTGAGCTGGCAAAGCTGTGGGTTTATAGGCCTGAGTTTAGATCTTAGTTCTGCCACTTGGTATCTGAGCTTAAATAAATTAACTTGCCTCTCTGAAAAATGAGGACAAATGCCTTTTTAGGGTTTTGTAAGGACCAAGTGAAAGAACCTGTATTAGGGTCCTTTGTAAACTAAAATATATATTTTTAGAGACACAAACTTCTGCAGCTTCCCCAAAACTGTGTTGCCACAGGCCAGTTACCTTCTGTCATCCAATCATTCCATTCGTTCATTTATTCATTCAGCAGACATTCTCTTGAACAGCAGTGAATAAAACAGACAAAAGTCCCTGCCCTCATGAAGTTTATATTCTAGTAGAGGAATGAAGATGTAACTGGAACTGGGACCTGAAAGGTAGTAACATTCAAACAGATGAAAGGAAAAGGCTTTCAGATGTGAAAAATGATTCAAGCTAAATTTGCAAAACAACATGCATTTAGAAAGCGGAGACGTTACTGGCCAAGTACTGGCAAGCCCAGACGTTCCATGGAAGAAACTATGGAAAGACCTTAAGGATTTTGGAATTTTTCATAATGGCAGCAGAAACCTACTGACAGTTTTTGAGCAAAGATCCAATGTGATCAAAGACTGCTTAAGAAAAATGGATAAGAAAGCTTTGCAAAAGAAGGCACTACAAAGGAAGAATTAAAATGACCTAGATATCAGGATCAAGGAGAACGATGCATTCATCTTCAAATTAATGATATTTTTATTTCATTAAACTAAGAAGTTTTTGCATAATTCTCTTAAAAATGAGATTTTACTCTAGTTGAATATCACAGTCCAACAAAAGTGACTTTAATATTAAAAGTTTTCATGCATAAGTGTTTTTATGTTATAATTCTTCTTCATTAAAAAATATTAAAAATAATCATTCTTCCTTATTAACAGACACGAGGCAGGCTTACAATGATTGCCTGTTGATAAGGAAACGTGTTTTCCAGAAGCAATGTGGCTTGCCTGGGATCACTGAAAAGTTGAGTGGCAAAATAAGGAAACTACAGTTTGCTTTGGCCTACTACATAATTGGTTTATTGTATGTGTCATCATCTAATCACTGTTATTAGCCTAGGCAGGAGACCCAACCAATAGGAGAAACATTTGCAGTTCTTACTCTCAGATTCCAATTTTATGCTAAACATTGACTCAGACAGTACCAGTTTTCTGTTCTGAGATGAGACCTTTTGCCCAGGAACCCTTGTGAGACCACTACAACAGACACATGAACCTCAGTGACCAGCACCTAAAGGTAATCCTAGAGTTCGATCTGATTTGCAAGTGGTTCTCCTTTCCCTGTGGCTAGTTCCAAGGGGGTTTGGGAAGGAACCCTTGGCAGATACTGAGATGCTCTAATGTGATTTCTGATAAGAAAGTGAGAATATCTATGAGAAGGCAAGATTATCTTAAGGAGTCACACAAGAAAGTGGGTGGGGGCATGAAGGGAGAAGCTGGGCAGGTGGCCAAGCAACAGGTTTCTGTGCAAAGGTTCCACTGAAGAGTTCTGAAAAGAACTTACAAATAATTTCTCACCTGAGGTTAGCTGTGGGGACAGAGCATTCTCCTCTGTTTTGGCATTTGCCAAGTATCTTCTTGCTCCCTTTATACCTAAGAATGATACTTCTTGAGCTGCCTTAATTTTAACTTGTTTTTTTAAGGAAATCTGATTTTCTGCACTTTTAGGATCAAACTCAGAGAAGGGGGAAGGGAGATATGAATAAATCCTAACAACCAAAGAAAGAGAGAAGAAAGCTAAGCTGCAAGCATTGAATAGTTCAAAGATATTTAGAGGAAAGGCCAAGATTCATTTCATTTGGGCCTTAAGTGGAGAGGTGGAAGGTTCTTTGACAATTACAAGAAAACAGACTACCTCACAAATAACTGGGAAAATACTGTGAAGAAACAAACCATAGTTTCCATATACTTAAAGAAGAGCTGCCAGAAAGATGCAAATGCCTGCTTTTTCCTGGCTGAACACAGACATTACACTTTTTAATAATTTTAGCAATCACTCTGCAAAATTTAACTAGTTCACTCTCTCTGGCTTAATTTTCTGTACATATTTAACAAATACTCTATCTTGAGCCACACTTTGACATTGCTCCCTGTTTTTCCAAAGTGCATGAGCACATGTGCTTGATTTCATTTGTTTCCGCCATGAGACAAATTAGTGAGTTAATCTACCAATTTTACTAATCTGGTTAGGTGCAGATAAGCAGATCTTATTTAAGGTATTTCCCTGGGCTTTGTAGGAGGGAAAAAAAAAAGACAAAAAAGCAAACAAAAAACAAATGCCCTCTTAAAAAAAGAAGGGAAAACTGACTAGCAGAAAGTAAAATGTGACATTTGCCCTTGTCTTTTAAACCAATTATTTCACAGAAAATTCTATTGCATGTAATATGTGCACCCTGAAGTCTTTCAACAGGTTTGTTCATTGTCTAATATTCATGCAATAAGCTTCCAGATAGACTCATTTACGCAACCCCAAAAGATGTGGTTGGTCTGACAGGAGGTTCAAAATCTCAGAGTACCAGAGTCACATCAAAATTTAATCTCAACGCACACAGTTTGTTACCTCCTATTTCAAAGAACTAAGAACAAAGAAGAAATCTATCATTTTCTTTACCTCTAAGGGAGGAGATGCATTTGGGAGTGAGGAAGTGATCTGGAGAGTTGAACACACAGTTACATCCAGGAATCAAACAATTCGCCAATTTGAAGAGAGACCACGCTGGCGTCTTCCTCCCAAAATTTGCCTTTAAAAAATACTCTGACTCAAAATAGTAAACATAGCCTTGAGTATCACAGTTTAAAAGGATGAAAGGTAAAAAGAAAATAGCCAGTGAAGAGGCAAACTTTGATGGGGAGAATGAAACCACAAAACTGCTTTAAGCACAGTGCTCTATTTCTTAATGTAAACCACAAATTGCTTAAGCCTGTGATCAAACTCAACCCCTTGGTTCCCAGGAGAAGTTCCCTGTTGCCCCAGCCCTGAGTAGCAAAGATGGTCTGGGACCGGTTTTTAAGAAAAGAGCAGAAAACTTCAGTTCTCCCTCCAGCCTGAATGAAGTGCAATTCTCCTCATTCAGGTACACAAGGGTTAAAAAGAGTATGCTTTTTAGATACAGCTGGAAGCCATTAGCAACTCTGAGGCCATCTCAGGAACCCAGTTAGAGGGTGGGTGGCCTGGCAGAGCTCCTGGATCCAAGAGTCTGTGGATTACAGACTCTTAGCATTGGAAGGGGTTTTATTCTACCTCTCACCCAATGTAGAAATCCTCTCTGTAACTGTTCAGTCTCTACTTGCATACTTCTACCAACAGCCCACTCACTGCTTCCCGAGGCAGCTCTCTCCTTCACAGAAAACTTCAATTCCTAGAAAGTTCTTCTTGGCAAAATTTGCCTCTATAGAAAGTCTGTTCTTTAAGTTCTAGCTCAACCTCTGACATCACCTCCAGCTGCATTCATGTTGCTGCAAAGGACAGCAATCCTACTTGTGAAGATAACTATCAGCTGCCTCCAATTCTTGCTTCCTCATGCCCAAATGACCCATTTCTACAAACCATCCCTTTCATTTGGTAGTTTCCAGACGATTCCCAAGCCTGCTGCCTCTTTGGATTGCGTTAATGTTTTAGAGTCCCTTCTGAAGAATGGGGCTCAGAACTGCATACATTCCCAGATCAAAGGGCACCAGTAAAGTGTCCTCTAAGGGACCTTTTTCTTCAGGAGTGTCCTGTCCTGCCATTGACTCAAGATAACATTTCTGGCCACTGGAGGTGGGTGGTCTTTTCTCAGCATTCTCTGCTTCGTTAATTGATTATTTAAATAAGCACGGGAATCAGCCTTTTTGTTTTTGTTCTCAGCAGGTTAAATGCAATGGATGGTCACTGTGGTACTTTGGATCTGGGAAATGCCCTAATTACATTTTTGCTTTCATTATAGGGAGGGGATGTAGAATCAGCTCAGGCTCTGGCTTTTAGAGATTAAGTAAATCAATAGTTAAGACCTAACAGAGCCACCCCATAGATAAACTAATAGCACAAGGTGTAATTTTAACCCCATTTTGTATTCCCAGCTGTGCCTCAGATCAACTGCGATGTCAAAGCCGGAAAGATCATCAATCCTGAGTTCATTGTAAAATGTCCAGCAGGATGCCAAGACCCCAAATATCATGTTTATGGCACTGACGTGTACGCATCCTACTCCAGTGTGTGTGGTGCTGCCGTACACAGGTGAGTGGCTCTCAGCTACTTAACTCACTAGCAATCAGGGTATTGGCAGGGAGCCCCCATGCAGGGTTGCCATATTTAGCAAGCAAAAATATACAAATAATTTTTAGCTCAAAATGTAATCTTCATTAAAAACATATTTTTACTGGATATAGAAGTCTAGCCAACAGTTATTTTTTTCTTCTTTCATTAAGCACTTTATGCTTCATTGCCTCCTTGCATAGTTTCAGATGACAAATCTGTATTCACTTTTTATCTTTGTTCCTCTATACATAATATTTTTCCTTTGGTTACTTTTAAGATTTTCTCTTTATCATTTGTTTTCAAAAATGTGGTTATAACATGCTCTTGTGGAGTTTTCCTTGTTATCCTGATTGAGAGTCGCTGAGCTTACATATTTCATCAGATTTGAGGATTTTAAGCCATTGTCTCCAAATATTCTTGTTTACCCTTGCCCCAGCCGCTCCTTCTGGAACTTTATCGTACACTACTTCAAACTATCCCACGAGTCACTGAGACACTGGTCTTTAAAAACAAAAACAAAAACAAAACTTTTATTTTAGATTCCAGGGGTACATGTATGTGCAGGTTTGTTACAAAGGTATATTACATGATGCTGGGGTCTGGAGTACAACTGAACCCATCACCCAGGAAGTAAGCATAGTACCAAATAGGTACCTTTTCAGGCTTTGCCTCCCTCCCTCCCCCTTCTTCTATTTCCTAGTGTCTGTTGTTCCCATCTTTGCATCCATGAGTACCCCATGCTTAGCTCCCCCTTATAAGTTAGAACATGCAATATTTGGTGTTCTGTCTCTGCATTAGTTCACTTAGGATAATGACCGCCAGCTGCATTCATGTTACTGCAAAGGACATCATTTTGTTCTTTTTTATGGTTGATAGTATTCCATGGTGTGTATGTACCACATTTTCTTTATCCAATCCACCATTGAGGCACCTCAGTTGGTTCCATGTCTTTGCTATTGTGAATAGTGCTGCAATGAACATACTGGTGCATGTGGCTTTTTGGTAGAAGGATTTATTTTCCTTTTGGAATATACCCAGCAATGGGTATATATAGTCAGCAATGGGATTGCTGGGTCAAATGGTTGTTCATTAGTTCTTCGAGAAATCTCCTAACTGCTCTCCACATTGGCTGAACTAATTTACATTTCCACCAACAATGTATAAGCACTCCTTTGTCTCTGCAGCCCACCAACATCTATTATTATTCTGGCTTTTGACTGGTGTAAGGTGGTATCTTATTTTGGTTTTGATTTGCATTTCTCTGATTATTAGTGATCATGAGTATTTTTTCATGTTTCTTGGCTGCTTGTATATTTTCTTTTGAGAAGTGTCTGTTAGTATCCTTTGCCCATTTTTTTAATGTGGTTATTTGTTTTTAGCTTATTAGATTGTTTAAGTCCCTTATAGATTCTGGATATTAGACCTTTGTTAAATGCATAGTTTACAAATATTTTCTCTCATTCTATAGGCTGTCTGTTTACTTCACTGAAGGTTCTTCTGCTGTGCAGGGCTCTTTAGTTTAACCAGGTCCCGCTCATCAATTTTTGTTTTTGTTGCAATTGCTTTTGAGGACTTAGACACAAATTCTTTGCCAAGACCTAATGCCGAGAAGGGTATTTTGAAGATTTTTATAGTTTGAAGTCTTACATTTAGGTCTTTAATCCATCTTCAGTTAATTTTGGTAAATGGTGATAGGGAGGGGTCCAGTTTTATTCTTTTGCATATGGATAGCCAGTTATCCCCAACACCATTTACTGTATAGGGAGTCCTTTCTCTATCGCTTATTTTTGTCAACTTTGTGAAAAACCAGATAGTTGCAGGTATATGGCTTTATTCCTGAGTTTTCTATTCTTCATTTTCTGTGCATCTGGTTTTTGTACTGATACCATGTTGTTTTGGTTGCTGTAACCCTGTAGTATTAAGTCTGATAATGTGATGCCTCCAGCTTTTTTCTTTTTGCTTAGAATTGTTTTGGCTAGTCAGGCTCTTTTTGGTTCCATAGGAATTTTAGAATAGTTTTTTCTAAATCTGTGAAAAATTACATCAATAGGATGATAAAAATAGTGTTGAATCTGTACATTGCTTTGGGTAGTATGGCCATTTTAATAATATTGATTCTTCCACTCTATGAGCATGGAATGTTTTTCCATTTGTTCATGTCATTTCTGATTTCTTCCAGGACCGTTTTACAGTTCTCCTTGTAGAGATCTTCCACCTCCTCAGTTAGATGTATTCCTAAGCATTTTATTCTTTAAATGGGATTGTGTTCTGATTTGGCTCTCAGCTTGAACATTACTGTTTACAGAAATGCTACTGATTGTTTGTACATTAGTTTTGTATCCTGAAACTATATTGGAATAATTTATCAGCTCAAGGAGCTTTTTGGTGCAGTCTTTAGGGTTTTCTAGGTATAGAGTCATATTGTCAGTGAAGAAAGGTAGTTTGACTTCTTCTTTACCTATTTAAATGCCTTTTATTTCTTTCTCTTGCCTGGTTGCTTTGGCTAAGACTTCTGCTACTATGTGAAATAGAAGTGGTGACAGTGAGCATCCTTGTCTTGTTCCAATTCTCAAAGAGAATGCTTCCAGCTTTTGCCCATTCAATATGAGGTTGGCTGTGGGTTTGTCATAGATGGCTTTTATTATTTTGAGGTTATGTTCCTATAATACCTAGTCAGTTGAGAGTTTTTATCATGAAAGGATGATGGATCTTATCAAAAGCTTTTTCTGTGTCTATTGAAATGATCACATGGTTTTTAATTCTGTTTATACGGTAAATTATTTTTATTGACTTGCATATTTTGAACCAACCTTGCACAGCAGGAATAAAACCTACTTGATTGTGGTGAATTCACTTTTTGATGTGCTGCTGGATTTGGTTTGCTAGCATTCTGTTAAGGATTTTCGCATCAGAGATATTGGTCTGTAGTTTTCTTTTTTCACATGTCTCAACTAGGTTACGGTATCAGGATGATGTTGGCTTCTTAAAATGAGTTAGGGAGGATTCCTAACTCCTTGATATTTTGAAATAGTTTCAATAGTACTGGTACCAGCTCTTTGTACTTCTGGTAGAATTTGGCTGTGAATCTATCTGGTCCAGGGCTTTTTTTGGTTAGTGGGTTTTTTATTATTAATTCCATTTCAAAACTTGTTAGTGGTCTGTTCAGAGTTTCAATTTCTTCCTAGTTCAATCTTGGGAGGTTGTGTGTTTACAGGACTTTATGCATTTTGTGTAGATTTTCTAGTATGTGTGCATAGAAGTCTTCATAATAGTCTCTGAAGATCTTTTGTATTTCTGTGGGATTGGTTGTAATGTCATCTTTGCCTTTTCAGATTGTGCATATTGGGTAGTCTTTCTTTTTCCCTTTGTTAATCTAGCTAGTGGTCTATCAATCTTGTTTATCCTTTCAAAAAACAAACTTTTGGTTTCATTGCTGTTGTGTATGGATTTTCACAACTCAATTTTGTTCAGTTCTGCTCTAATTTTAGTTATTTATTTTCTCCTGCTGGTTTTGGGGTTAGTAAGTTCTTATTTTTCTGTTTCCTCTAAGGTGTGACATTAGATTGTTAACATGAGATATTTAGAACTTCTTGATGTAGGCATTTTGTACTATAAATTTTCCACTTAACAATGCTTTCACTGCATCCTACAGATTTTGGTAGGTTGTGTCTCTATTTTCATTAACTTCAATTTTTTTTTTGTTTCTGCTTTAATTTCATTGATTAACCAAAAGTTATTCATGAGTGGGTTCTTTAATTTCCATGTAACTGTGTGGCTTTGAGAGACCTTCTTGGTATTGATTTTTATTTTTATTGCAGTGTGTTCTAAGAGCATGACTGGTATGATTTCAAATTTTTTAATTTATTGAGATTTGCTTTATAGCTAAGCATGTGGTCAATCATACAGTATGTTCCATGTGCAGATGAGAAGAATATATATTCTGTGGTTGTTTGGTGGAGTATCCTGTAGATGTCTATTACAGCCAATTGATCAAGTGTTGAGTTTAAGTCCAGAATTTGTCAGTTTTCTGCCTCAGTGATCTAACTCTGTCAGTGGAGTGTTGAAGTCCCCTACTATTACTATGTGGCTGTCTTTCCATGGGTCTAGACGTACTTGTTTTATGAATCTGGGTGCTCCAATGTCTGGTGTGTATATATTGAGGATAGTTTTCTTGTTGAATTGAACTCTATCATTATGTAATGCCCTTCTTTGTCTGTTTACTGTTGTTGGTTTAAAATCTGATATAAAATTAATGACCTCTGTAGATCTTTCTTCATCCCTTTACTTCGAGCCTGTGGGTATTATATGTGTGAGATGAGCCTGTTGAAGACAGCAGATGGCTGGGTCTTGTTTCTTAATCCGACTTGCCATGCTGTGCCTTTTAAGCGGGGCATTTAGACTATTTACATTCAAGGTTAATATTGATATATGAGGTTTCTGACCCAATCATAATGTTGTCAGCTGGTTGTTTTGTAGACTTGATTGTGTAGTTGCTTTATAGGGTCTATGGGTTATGAACTTAAGTGTGGTTTTGTGGTAGCAGGTATCATTCTCTCATTTCTGTATTTAGAACTCCCTTAAGGACCCCTTGTAAGGCTCATCTAGTGGCAATGAATTCCCTTAGCATTTGCTTATCTGAAAAGTGTTTTAATTCTCCTTTGCTTATGAAACTTAGCTTGGCAGAATAGGAAATTTTTTGTTGAATTTTTTTTTCTTTAAGGATGCTGAGAATAGGCCCTCAATCTTTCCTGGCTTGTAAACTTTCTGCTGAGAAGTCCATTGTTAGCCTGATGGGGCTCCCTTTGTAAGTGATCCTTTAATTGCTTTTAAGATTTTTTTCTTTCCCTTTAACTTCGGAGAATCAGATGACTATCTATCTTGAGAATGACCATCTTGTATAGTATCTTACACAGATTTTTCTGAATTTCTTGAATTTGCATGTTGACCTCTCCAGTGAGATTGGGGGAATCTTCATGAAC